CCGCTGCCCCCCGCTGCCCCGCTGGGAGCGCGTAGCCTTCGCCGCGTGGCCCGGAGAGGAGGGAGACACAGAGGCGTTCCGCGGACCCTGCGCGCCCGGGTCTGCTCGGCTTCGCTGCGGAGACAGCCTCCGGACGCGGGTGAGTACCCCGCGCTTAGCGGCGTCCTGTCCCCGCAGCTAGCCGGTTGTGGGGATGGCGGGGGACTCCGGAAAGTTGGCTCTCTCGCACCTATCCTGGGATCGGCAGTGGAAGGGAACATTGGTTCTACGACCAGATCGACTTCGCCGTGTTCCCCGATCGCCTGCATCTCTAAAACCAGGGAGGGAGCCCCCTTCCCGCTTCCCAGGGAGAAAGGGGGCAATGGGGCTCGCTGGAACTGGTCGCTGACTGTTCTCCATCAGCGTGCCCTTTGGGGCTTCACCGCCGCCCGCGCGTTAAGCCGGCACCCGGCGTAAGCGCTTGGAGATCCGCAGCCTCCGGGGCGCGCTCGGAGATTGTGGTCAGCTCAGAGGAGAGGCTGAGCGCCCTTCATAAAGAGAAAAGACTGCTGGAATATGAAGTTGGGGGGGTGGGGGCAGGGGTTGGAAGGGGTAGCTCGGGGGAGATGCGGAGTAAGTGCGGTTTATCTGTTCTTGATGGATCGCTCACCAGGGGTGCCGCTCCTTGCTGCAGGTTTGGGACCGACCTATATAGGGCAGTCAAACAGAGTCCAACAGGTGGCTTGCACGGGCTGCTGTGGCTGGGCGCAGGGAGGGGGGACTCATTCCCTTCCCTGGGCAGGGCTGCTTCTGTCACTTCTAGGGGTGCATCTAATACCGCGGGCAAGGAAATGGTCTCTCTGCTCTGGGCCGGCCCTATTCGGGTGTGTGAGGCGTCCCAGTGCCTCCTGTGGGGAAACAGCGGCCTCATTGTGTGCCTGACTGAGGTTTCAACTTGCAGGCAACTGAGGGACCATTCAGCTGGGCGACATGGACTTGGCTGGTTCTTGGACTTGAGCCTCAGCCTTCCCTCCCGCGTTCCCCAGCAGCGGGTGTTCTAGCTGCCCGGGCTGGGCAGGGAGCCAAACCTCAGCTTTGCCCCTCAGTACTCCAGCGATGGGAGGTGGCCTGTCAGGAGTACGCCAAGCCGTGCTGGGCTTGTTCTTATTTATCTTCCTTCTGGACTTCTATCCAGAGACCAGACACCAGGGTGGGTGAGAGTTAGCACAGGCAGAGTTTGAGAGCTAGGTGGGAGGGTGTAGACAGAAGAAAAAATTCTCTTTCCACTCTGGAAGACGGATTGAGAGAGAGCGCATCTGCGCATTGAAAGTTTCTTGTGAAACTCACTGTCCTTCAAGGTGTGCCAAGAGCGAAGTGCTTTGGGCCGGGAAGCCGGAAGTAGAGTAGGATCTTCCCAAGTCTGCCCATTTGTAGGTTAGGGGCAGTGAAACCTGCTTGGGAGACGTTGTCAGTGTTCACAGCGGAGATACTTAGAGGTGGATGTTTGGGATGTGGAAGAGCAGAGGGAGGTGTGGGGTGGGGGAGAGAGGAGGGTAGATTGGAGCCTGCATTCCGCTCAGTTTTTACTAAGACTTTGTATTTTGAGGTTGATTGGCTTTCGGATCCATGGGGATCTGGGAAACCTAAAGCTTTCCCAACACACACTTGGTGCCACCCTGCCGCTGAGTGCCCACCACTCAGTGAGATGTTTGTGCTCTGGAATAAAGTGATGGACACTCCTGAATGCCAAAGTCCCTTTGACATTTGCTCTTAGCCCGGCAACTTCCCTTTCAGAGCAGCCCCTCCTCGGTTGGTTCTGCAGCTGTTTGGCCTTGCTGCCTCTAGTGTGTAATTACTGCTGCGTCCTTTCAGCCCAGGTTTAGTTTCCCTCCGAGGAGGAGGACCCTTTTCATAGCACTCAGCGCCTCTGGCAGTGGATTGCTAGAATTGCTGATAATTTGTTAGCCTTGACTTGTAGCATGTACTGGCTGATTTAGCATGGGGCTGGTGTCCTGCCAGCACTGTGCCCAGGAGGCTGTGTATCCGGAGGGGAGCTGTCAAAGGGATGAATGGGAAGTGGGGTGTTATGTGTGGATGTATGGCAGGGAGGGAGAAGGAGAAGCAGACAAACAGGAAGGCAAAGCCAGAAGAAGAAGCAAAATGGGCAGGGGGAAAAAGAGAGAGAGGGTAGGGGAGGTGGAGGAGGAGGAGGAGGTAGAGAAAGAAGGAAGGAACATGAACTCTGGATAAAAAGCCAGAGACAAGAGAGAAAAGGGGAGCTTCAACAGGAATGGGATGGGGAAGGGTGGAGCAGTCAGGGAGGCTGCCAGAACCTCAGGGAGGGGAGAGGGCCGGAGAAGCGGGGAGGTACTCGCTCTCTGTATTTAATTTTTATAAGTCATGCTGCCATTGTAAGGAAGTCAACAGAGTCCACATCCTTAAGTAGCCAGCCTTTGGTTGGTGCTGCTTTCTCTGGGGAGGTATGAATTATGCAGAAATCGGACACCTGCTTGAGATGCAGCTGCATTAGAAATGACAAGAATATCAGAAGTTTGGATTCTTAGGAAATGCACAGATGTACAAATGCATTTGGCTTTGCTATTTTTTTTTTTTTTCTGAGTAAACACAGGACTAGAGAATTAGGGCATATTGTTATTCCCCTAACCATATTCGCCAGTGATCCTCTAACTCCTGTTTGTAAAAGGATCTCCTAGGTAGTTTCTGAGAAGTGCAAATTCCTGGATCCACTCCCCTGGGAGTCTGGGCCCTGAGGGATAGGAATGTCCCACTTTTATGAGTGTCCCTGTTGATTGTAAAGCAAGTTGTCCCTGAACTACACTTTGATTAACTTGATAGAGGTGGTGTTACACTCTTCTCTACTTTGTTCCTGAATTTCCTCCCAAGAGATGTAGTTTAATACCTGTCTCCTGCACCCTGTCCTCCCCAGAAAACCTCGTTTCTTGTGAATTTCTCTTGAAAAAAGGACCAGTCCAAGGAAGCTGCTTAGGCAGGGTTCCCTTTCCATGAACCTCATTAATCACAGTAGCTCCAGGGGAAAGCAGAACGCTCCTCCCGTTGACCTTGTCAAGGGTGTTCCCAAGTAACAGATACTAGGCACTCAGCAGGGCATTGTCCTGGGTATTCTTGATATAGTACTAGCTCACTTAATGCTCATAAAAGTTATGTCATAGATACTGTTGCTGTCATCTGCAATTCATAATTGAGGAGAACAAGATGTACAGAAATTATATAACTTGTCCTAGAGAACTACATCAGTTTTCTGTGGTCCAGCAACTAGAAAGTATCTGCCCTGACAGTGGAGTGCAAGTTTGATCCCTGAGGCTGAGACCCTCATTATGTACCACGCTGGATCCTAACCCTGACATCTCCCATTGACACTGCTGGACTCAAAGCATTCTTAGGGATCTTCCCAAGCACTCCTTCCCTGTTTTACCAATTGAGAAAAATGAGAAGTGGTTGAAGACACAGAAATGATTTGCCAGAAGCCCTACAGCTAGTAAATGCTGGAAGTAGGATGTGACTCCTGATTTGTGGAGTCTAGGTCCAGCCTTCTACCAGGAGTTACCATATCTGACTTTTCATCAAGATCATAAGCCTCTTACTCAAAACATAAATTCCTGGGCCGTGCTAGAGGGTTACTGAAATATTAGGCCAGAGAGCCCAGAAATCTGTCTTGTTAGTCTACGCCTCAAGCTACATCTGCATGTTGCCATTTGTCCCAGGTATTCCACAGCTCTTGGATTCTGACACTCTGTTCCTTTCAGAGAGCTTCAAGAGAAGGACTGCAAGCCCCTCTGCTTCCAGCAAAATAAACACATGAAAAGTACTAGGCGCAGTGTGTTTCCGCCCCCACTGCTTGTGTCTACGGTGAGGAAACAAGCTGGTCCCCCCAAAGGCAAGCTTTGAGAAGCGCAGCTGAAGCACTGATGTTTATTGGACTTTCTTTGCCCCTTGTGTTGAGTTGAGAAAGAGTTAGAAAACATCAAATGTTCCCCCAGCGCATCTTCTGGTGTGTGTCCTAATATCCCACACAAAATGACACTGCGAGCCAAGCCAATGTGTCAAAAAAGGTGTCACGCTGTGGTCCAATTTAGTGAAATCTAGCTGTGTTGTAAGAAAGACCCCTTCATTATTATGCTTTTGACTTTCGGCACAGATCATTGCCTCCTTCTGCAGGTAAAAGGGAGCCATCACACACGCTCTGTCCCTTTCTGGCCCACTTAAATTGTTTTCTCAGTGACCTCAACATCTTTTTCGTTCTATTTCATTGAAAAGTGGCCAAAGGTGCCAGACATCTAGTTCGACAAAATGTTTTGTCATCTTTCCCTTTTCAGATCCAAATTTATCTTTTGAATCTGTTGCTTTTAACCCTGACCTCTTATTCAAGGATGGTAATTGAGCCTTAGGTAGCTTTTATAAGCAACTGTCTGATACATGTATTTTAAGTAACTGTAGTCACTTGTGAATAGAATGCAAACCAAGGAATAATTTATATTTACAATGTCTGCATCTTTAATATGCTGGATTTTTTTTTATCACTGCAGTGTTGAAACCATTTTCTATTTGGCAAGGCTGGGAGTGGAAAAGTGAAAAAAATGAAAAGAAACAGTTTGTGGTGGTGACTTGGGCACAAAGTGCGGGCATCTAGGGCTCAAAGCCCACCCTCAGCTTGCTTGCTCGTCTACCCTCAGTTATTTAATTTCTGGTTATTTAATTTCTCCAAGTGTCTGTTGTTTCATTTGTAAGTTGAAGGCAATGAGGAATTTCCCATATGTGCTGTAAAGCTTTACCTTCCTGGGTGATTGAAGTGCTCAGTTTAGTGTCAGATGCACCTTCAGCCAGTGGTGTTACAACTTCCTGTTAAACGTTTGCCATGTGCTATACTCCCTTCACCATGGATAAAACTGACATCACAGAGATTACACAACTTGGAAGGGGCCACATGTATTCTAAAAGTCAGAATCTAGAGCTCAAGTCTGACCTTTTCAACTCTTCCCATCCTCACTGTTGTGTTGTGTACTTTGCTGTCTGTCCCCAAATCTCTATCTAAGCTGATACACCTGGTGCTATTGGAAGTTGTGTTTGTAGCACCAGGACAGTACCTGACATATAGAAAGCCCACAAGCACTTTTTTGAGTG